CGGCGGCGGCGGCGGCGGCGGCGGCGGCAACAACAGCACTATGCGCGGGCTTGGGGCGGCGGCCAGCGCGCTGCCGCTTCTATTCTGGTCGGGAAAAGCGAAAAACTGGATGAGGCTCAAGCGCTGGCCCGCAGCTGCGCTGGAAGACCCGACTTTCAGCCTTGTGATGGGCTGTCGCTGTGCGCCACACACAGTCACGGCCGCTGCTTCCGCCTGCACTGGTGTTGCCATCTAGGCTGGTGCCATTGTGAGTACGGAGGGCGAGGGGGCTGGGGTGGGCGCGGCGGACGGGACGGGAGAGGGCAAGCCAGAGGAGCAGTTTGGTGGGTCCCTGCAAACTGCTGGCTTCCAGACGTTCCGCGCTGTTGCAAGCGCAGGGAGCCCCCTGGCTGAGCGCTGCAGATTTCTGGCGAGGCAGCGGGCGGGCGGAGATTCGTGGTGTGCCTTCTGAAAGGGAGAGATCGGCTAATCACGCCGGGGACGGAGAAGCAATCGGTAGTCCTGAGGGGAAAATCTAAATCTTTCTTGCGTTTTTGGATTGCGGCTTTTCCTCTAGCAGGAACCGCTTTTAGAAGATCGGCTCTTGCCTGATTTCTTTTTCCATCGTCTCGATGCCCTGATGCCTGGAGCGAAGATTTGACCTGGGATCAATAGTGACAGATAGCATGGCATCCGGAGCATAGATGGATTTCTCTGTTCTCCCGGGGAAGAGAGGTCTCCTAAGTGCTTCTGACTAGGACAAGCCAAGAAAGGAGTGGGCTGGATCTGCGGTGTATTGAGAGCGAGTGGGAGCAGTAGGTAAAATGTATAAGGAACACATTCCTCCTCTTCGCCATCCACCCCCCCCCTTTTTTCTTGCTAGATCTTGATTGGGAGGCAACGAAAGGTAGCAAACCACTTAGATAAGCCCATCCATTGCTATCAGAAGCAGCTTAACTCCTTTTTTACCATAACTGCTAAAGTCATAGATTCCTGTATTGGTACAGATGTTTAGACAAGAAGTAGACTCATCCTTCAATACTATGGACAGTAAAACATCTGGGCTTTTCCCACTCAGTCCTTTCTCTAGTTAGAGAACATGTGTGGCCCTCCTGATGTAGCTTCAACCAGTACAACTAATGATGAGGGATGATGGGAATTGTTAACTCTACATCTGGAGGCTGCAGCTCTCTAAACCCTGAACCAACTGTTGTGAAGCTTTCTGTTGGATTATAATCATAAAGGCCATTTGCATCTCTTCTGTGGCTGCATATATACAGTAATTTGATCTATTGGTTGAAAAATTAGTGATGTCTGAGATTGTCATGGAACGGTCTCATGGCTAACAATACTAGCTGTCTAGTTTTCAAGTTACTGTTCTCACTGATTCCCTTAGTATGAATATATTACTTCTACATAAAGAATGTGGTTGATTGATCTTTTCTCTGTGTTCAAAGTTTCTAATCAACTGATTGCCCCTTAATGGTTTACAGTAACCCAGAGTAAAAGATGGGACACTGAAAAAAAAGTTATAAAACGTAAACATATAGCTTACTTCCCACTTTTATCTTTGGGGAAATTGCAGTAAACAGAAGTAATGCTGTCTCTCTGGAACTAGTCACAAAACAAATGTCAGCAGCTTGCTACAGCCAGTTCATTATCCAGAGCCAGAAAACTGGAAGGCAGATGCACGGATCTTTGTTGCAGCAGATAAATAGCACTTTGTGTTTTCTGTTAAGTGTGCCATTGTTCTCATTCAAATCCCCAAGGGTTTTTCTCCCCACTCATAGGAACAGCATCATCTGCTAGGCTCAAGTCCTAGTACTTGTGGGCTCTGCAAATTAATAGATTATAAAATATTTTGTTTTCTATTTTTAAATTAGAAGTTATTGTGCCATCTTCTGAAAGCTGCCTGTCTCAGAAGAAAGTATTAAGTTATCAGTTAATTGTACTTGTCCAAATCTGAATTTCAACTTGCTTTGGTGTCCTCATGTTTCTATGAGTTTTTGCTTTCTTCTAGTAGTACACCAATGCGCTAGCAAATGACAATAAAACTTACAATTCTTCTGGGATTATGGGTAAGGCCAGGATGAAATATGACACCTTCTCTATGCCTAGATTGTAGAGGTATCTTATTGGTTATTATTCCTGAATTATACAGTATGTCCTTTTTCCTTCTGGTACCATGTTCAGAATTAGACCACAGTACATCGGAGCAGAACAGTTTTCTTCTAAAGAATGAATTATGTAATCCATAGCATTGTTCGCTGACTGCTCAAGATAATGTTTTGATTTTCTGGCTATCAAGCCATTAAGCCTATCTGAATCTGTTGCTTTAATGCTTCTAATCAAATAGCTGAGTTTATTTTCTCCACTTCCAAGTGCTATAATCACAGCATGATTGGGTGCATCTTCTAAAATCCAGATTGTTTTCCTGTAAGACTAAGACTGCGTGAAAGCACTCAGTAGAAGTGAGCCCATATCTGACTGAGCTTAGAATTTCTGTGTGGCCTCTTGCATGTACTCATTAAAAACATCACGGGTTTTCTTTTATGATATATATATATCTCAAGTGGAAAATGCAGCAGGAATTATGTCAGATTTGGCTTTTTGCTTTTGGAAGAACAGTATTATACTCTGATGAGGCCAACTAATTGATTATGTGCCATTAAGTCAGTGTTGACTCTTAGCAACCATGTAGATAGATTTTCTCCATAACGATTTGTCTCTAACCTGGCCTTTTAGATCTTCCAACGGTGTACTCATTGGCACTGTAACTGAACCCATCCACCTTGCTGCTGGTCATCCTTTTCTTCTCTTTCCTTCCACCTTTCCCAGCACTAGAGCCTTTCCCAGAGAAGTGTCATCATGGCTTGCGCTATTCTGATTGTTGTAAATATAGGCACATCGTGGCATCTGATTATCTTTTCCAAGGCCTTCATGGCTGCTCTGCCAAATGTTAGTCTGTGGCGTATTTCTTGACTGCTTGTTCCTTTACTGTTGATGGTTGATCCTAAAAGGCAGAAACTATCTACCACTTTGATATCTTCATTATCAGTTCTAAGGCTGGTTGTTGTACTTGTTGCCATTAGTTTAGTCCTCTTTATATTTAATTTTATTCACTGTGCTGTGTTGACTTTTATTGTTAGAGCTTGTAGATCCTGAAAATGCAAAGGATCTACAAGCTCTAGTAATAAAAGCAGTACAGTATCGGAATAGCGTCATTAGCATAGCACAGGTTATTGATGTTTCTTCCTCCAGTTTTAAAACCATACTCATCTTCTTCCAATCCAGCTTCCCTTAATATATATTCAGCATATAGATTGAATAAAAAGGGGGTGTTGTCTCACTTCTTTGCTAACCTGGAGCTAGTCTGTTTCATCATGTTCTATCCATACTGTGGCTTCCTGACCTGTATATAAGTTTCTTCTTTCTAATGAGATGTTCTGGGATTCCCATTTTTCTAATCACATTCTACAACTCGATATGATCAACACAACTGAAGGGGTTTCAATAATCAATGAAGCACATACTGACTTCTTTTTGGTATTCTTTGGCTTTCTCAATTGTCCAGCGTGCATCAGCAATAATATCTCGTGTTCTTTGGCCTTTTTTAAAACCAGCTTGAACGTCTGGCAACCCTCCCTCCATGTAGGGTTCTAATCTGCACTGGATGATCCTAAGCATTATTTTGCTAACATGTGAAATTAAGGATATCTGATGAGAACCACACTAAACTTTATATTAAATGTATATTTGCATAGGTGGAATTATGTTAAAAAACATAGCAATTGTGGAGACTCTGGTCCAGAGTCTGACCATGCCATGAGTAGAAGAAAACTCTTTTCTCCTGTTCCATTGGCCCAATTAACCTGTGCCTGAAGTTGCTGTTTTCCCCAGGATAGAACATACTACGGCAGCAAGATATAATAGCGTATCTGCAGTGGGAGGGAGAGGAGCCCTCTCCTTGTTGCCCTAAATGTAATTATTGAGTTGGCATAAATTGCAGAGGCAACAATTAACACCTTACAAAGGAAGAATGGTATCTGTAGTGGTTCCAGATTCCGTCCCTCTCATCTCCAGGTAGAGCTGGAAAAGAGACCTGCTCCAAACATGGGAATTGTAAAGACTTTTTGAAGTAGATGAGGCAATAATTTTATTCAAATCCAAATTGGGCCATCTCTTATTTGTAGGACAGACTCCATGTGTTTGTAGTAACTCATTTATTTTGATGGAAGCAGATGCTGAGCCCGCAGAGGGGTTTTGCCAGTGGAGAAGGAAAACAGTGTATAGAATGTTATGACATGTTTTGCATCACTCCCAGGGGAAGGAACAGGGCTTAAGCACAGCTGCAAACACAGGGCAAAACAGCAAGGAGTGTGAATGTATTATAGTGTAATACACATTCAACACTTTCTAGGAACTTCAGTTTCAAATGGTTGATAGTAATTGCAATTTTTAGTTAAAGACCTTAACTGTGCTTTTTGGGTTTGGTTGGTTTGGTTTGGTTTTTTGTTATCCTCTACTTACTTATATGTGAACATTCTCTTAGAAGATGAAGAATGTTCAGAAATCCAGGGAAGGCTTTGAAGTACCACAAAGTCTTCCCTGGATTTCTGAATCTTTTTTTACCTCTTGAGAGAAACAGATGCAAATAATTATAAAATCTTCTTATGAATTTAGCACATATACACAGTCCCCTCAGGAATATTGCATAATTAAATATATTTTTAGTCAAGAAGTGACTTGCAATTTCCAGATGTGGGAAGTAGGTAATCAGTATATGTGTATATACTTATTCAATTACAATTAACTCTTTCTGTTTGGAGTTAGACATTTTCTTTTGGTAAAGCTACACCTGACTGTTTTTGCAACTTTTAGGACTCTGTAAATTGTTTTCCAGTTTTTTATATAGAAAATTGCATGCTAGCTTCATACTATCCTACTGTAAGACCTCAATGTGCCTGCAGCTTGGCAATATAATCCTTCTCTATCCATGGTTATGCTGAGCAGAGTGATATTAGCTACCAACTAAAAGTTGATTTGGGAGCAATTTTGTAACATATTATTTTAAGTGATCTCTCAATTTTAATTTTTTTTATAACTGGAAATGTAAGTGAGGCTGAACTAGAATTAAAACTTTTTAATACTTGAATATATCATAGAGCAAGTGGTTGGACTTAACTGGAAGACAGATGGAAATAAACCTTTCATCTCATTTCGCTAGTTAATTTCCCAGGTATTAATAGGTGTGGTTTATAAATATGA